GGGAACCGGGTTCGCGTCTCCGCTCCTCCACATGCAGCTGCTGGGTGATCTTGGGCCAGTCACACTTCTCTGAAGTCTCTCAGCCCCACTCACCTCACAGAGTGTTTGTTGTGGGGAAGGAAGGGAAAGGAGAATGTGAGCCGCTTTGAGACTCCTTTGGGTAGTGATAAAGCGGGATATCAAATCCAAACTCTTCTTCTTCTTCTTCTTCTGATGTATATTTTATAATTCCTCATGGTAATCCCATCTGACCCCTACACTTGGGAAAGGTTATTTTTTTAAAAATAGGTTTTTTTAAAAGTAACAAATACATTTATAACAAAATAAATTGCAAATCCATAAACAGAGATTACACTGCATCTCATGACTAGTCTCTCCCCCCCCCCCTGTGTGTCCTAATATTAACATCTACAACTCCATATCAGTCCGTTGTCCATATTTTCCCATCCATCTGAATGGTCCGTGATCTTTAATACCTTACCAGTGTGGTTAAAATCCTGCTAATGCTTTCATCTATTTACAATGGGCTCCTAGATAAATTATAATCCCCCCCCCTTCTTTTAAAAGTTCCTGTCCTCTTAGTTTTCTCAAGAAGATCCTCTTTCAGGTCATCATCGTCATCATCATCACAACAATAACAATAACAATAACAATAATGTTATTATTTCTATCCCAGCCATCTAGGCAGCTGGGTTTTCTTGCATGGTGGGTTTCAGGAGGAAGCATCCCTCTTTCACCACAGAAATAGTGAAAAACTTACCCTTCAACAGCTAAATGTCTGGGGCAGGAAAATGCTTGCAGGGTCTGTGAAGCTCCTTTTGTTTCTTCTTTCCTCACATTCTATCAGAACCACCTGCACCACCAGGGCCTGGTAGAGACCCCAAGATCTCCTGCAATGCTTTTGCAAAGTTTATTGCAGATAAAGTCGCTGAGATTCGGAAAGAGGTAGACTCCACCGTGGGAGCAGGGCCAGGGCGGGAGAGTGCTAGAGTTCTGTCTGGTCCTGTTACATGGGATCAATTCCAATCTGTTACCTCCGAGGATGTGGACAGGCTGCTTGGACGAGTGAAACCGACCACCTGTCTCCTTGATCCTTGCCCATCCTGGCTGATAAAAGCGAGCCAGGAAGGACTGGGCGATGGGCTTCGTGGGGTGTTGAATGCTTCCCTCTGTGAGGGAGCCTTCCCAGACCCGCTGAAAGAGGCGGTCATTAAACCGCTTCTTAAAAAAACATCTTTAGACCCAGCCAATTTGGCCAACTATCGCCCAGTCTCAAATTTACCATTCTTGGGCAAGGTGATTGAGCGGGTGGTTGCCAGACAACTCCAAGCACGCCTGGAGGATGCGGACCATTTGGATCCCTTCCAATCGGGGTTCAGGCCTCACCATGGGACTGAAAATGCCTTGGTCACGCTGGTTGATGATCTCCGGCGGGCTAGGGACAAAGGTGAGAGCTGTTTCCTAGTTCTGCTGGATCTCTCAGTGGCCTTTGACACCATAACATCCTTCTGGACTGTCTAGAGGGGCTGGGAGCTGGGGGCACTGTTATATGGTGGTTCCGTTCCTTTCTCCTGGGCCATGTCCAGAAAGTGGTGGTGGGGGATGAGTGTTCAGACCCCTGGGCCCTCACTTGTGGGGTGCCTCAGGGTTCTGTCCTCTCCCTCATGCTTTTTAATATCTATATGAAGCTGCTGGGAGAGATCATCAGGGGGTTGGGGCTGGGAGTTCATCAGTATGCAGATGACACCCAGCTCTACCTCTCCTTTAAATCAGAACCAGTGAAGGTCCTGTGTGAGTGCCTGGAGGCGGTTGGAGGATGGATGGCGGCCAACAGATTGAGGTTGAATCCTGACAAGACAGAAGTGCTGTTCTTGGGGGACAGGGGGCAGGCTGGTGTGGAGGACTCCCTGGTCCTGAATGGGGTAACTGTGCCCCTGAAGGACCAGGTGTGCAGCCTGGGAGTCATTTTGAACTCACAGCTATCCATGGAGGCACAGGTTAATTCTGTGTCCAGGGCGGCTGTCTACCTGCTCCACCTGGTACGCAGGCTAAGTCCCTACCTGCCCACCGACTGTCTTGCCAGAGTGGTGCATGCTCTAGTTATCTCCCGCTTGGACTACTGCAATGCACTCTACGTGGGGCTACCTTTGAAGGTGACCCGGAAACTGCAATTAATCCAGAATGTGGCAGCTAGACTGGTGACTGGGAGTGGCTGCTGGGACCACATCACACCAGTCCTGAGAGATCTGCATTGGCTCCCAGTACGTTTCTGAGCACAATTCAAAGTGTTGGTGCTGACCTTTAAAGCCCTAAACGGCCTCGGTCCTGTATACCTGAAGGAGCGTCTCCACCCCCATCGTTCGACCGGACACTGAGATCCAGCGCTGAGGGCCTTCTGGCGGTTCCCTCATTGCGAGAAGTGAGGTTACAGGGAACCAGGCAGAGGGCCTTCTCGGTGGTGGCGCCCGCCCTGTGGAACACCCTCCCTTCAGATGTCAAGGAAATAAGCAGTTATCATATTTTTAAAAGACATCTGAAGGCAGCCCTGTTTAGGGAAGTTCTTAATATTTAATGCAGTATTGTTTTTAACATGTGATTGGAAGCCGCCCAGAGTGGCTGGGGAAACTCAGCCAGATGGGCGGGGTATAAATATATTATTATTATTATTATTATTATTATTATTATTATTATTATTATTATTATTATTATTATATCTCAGGAACCTGCAGCTTGTTTTGGCTTCTGAGCTCCCTAGGACGTTTGAAAGAGTCTGATCCTACAAACCTGGCGAGGATGGAAGGCCGAAGATGGACGGTTGACTTGGTCAGGCTGCCTCCTGCATCCCTCCCCAAACCTGTTGAGCATTCCCTCCCAGGGCCCTCAGAGAGATCTGGTGAGTTGCAGGGAGAAAGGGCAAGGATGGATGGAGACAGGAGGGGGGAAACACATTGGCAAGGTGTTGGACAAATATGTCCCAAGGAATCTTTACCCAGAGGGCGTCAATTTACTCTGTGTAAAAAAGGAGTCTACACCAAGATCGGGCATCAGTAGATTTATTACAGTAATGCACAGGCGGCCCCTCAGCTCACGCTGTAAAGGAGTGCTCATTCCAACTTAAAAGTGTTCAAATATCCCTCCTACAATTCCTATTGGTTAATAAATTGCAATTTACAGGCTTCGCAATCCACCTACACATATGTTCCCCACCAATAACATGGATCCCATGTCCATTCAAATTAGCCATTTCTCCTTTAGGGGTGCGTATCCATGAAGCGTTTGAGCACGCATACTAGTTCTTAAAGTATCAGCTGCTATTTCTCCTTCTTATCTCGAGTCACCTCTAAACTATAAATCTATCACTTTCAGGATCAGCATGTGCCTTGAACACGTTCTTAGTCTTTCTTAGCATTAATTGCACCCTCTAACACGGAAAGGAGTTAGGGAGAATCCTTTGATTCAGCTAAGGATTCATTTTTATTCATTTATTCCACATTGGAACAGGACCTATTTTTCTTGCATGGTGGGTTTCAGGAGGAAGGCACCCTCTTTCACCATGGAAACAGTTCAGTTAACCCCCGAATCTCCAAGCTTTATCTTTCTCTGTGTTCAGCAGAGCTGGGTGTCTATGGGCCAGTCTCAAAGCAGGGCTCACAGTCGTGTCTCTCCTTACCCTACTTCTCCAGGCACCGTTGGTCGGGTAAGCAGTTCACAGTTCTGTCTTTAGACCTCTTCTCTCTCTGCTCTCAGTTCAGGCAGCAGCGTTCTCTCCTCTCTGGCAACCTTGACCCGGCAGCTGATAAGGAGGGAGGGAGCAGGCTGGGACAAGCTGAAGACAAGCTGGAACAAGCTGAAGCTCGCAGAGCCAACAGGAATTATAAAAGTGCTCAGAGTCTTTAAAATGTTTTCCGTTTGTTAGAAATTGGCATCCGGAGGGCAGTTAAGATAAGGTTTTAAAAGAATAAAAGTGAGCGCCGGAGAGCGTGACTTGCCTTGGCGCCATCTTGCCTCCTCCTCCCTATGAATGTTTCGTGAAATTCATCTTCAACAGCTAAATGTGAGGCTCCCTTTGTTTCTTCATCCCTCAGAAACCTGCAGCTCGTTTTCGCTTGGGAGCTCCTCAGGAAGGATGAAAGAGGCTGATAATGCAAACCTAGCGAGAATGGAAGGAGGAAGATGGACGGTTGACTTGGTCAGGCTGCCTCCTGCATCCCTCTCCAAAACTGTTGAGCATTCCCTCCTAGGGCCCTCAGAGAGATCTGGTGAGTTGCAGGGGATAAGATATGGGCGCAGGGGTGGAAAGAGACAGGAGGAGGGAAACACATTGGCAAGGGGAAAAGATGGAGGTGAGGGAAAAGGCAGGAAGAAGGAAGCAGAGAGGCCTTTTCCCATGCTCCTCTTTGTTTCTGGAATCTGCTTTCATAGAGGAGCCAGAAACCTTTTTCCTCTCACAGCCTTTTGATTTTACATGTTTTCCCCCCACTACATGATTAAATGATGATTATTACCTAGACTAATACAGAAATATGGATAAAGGGTGTTGTGGAAATGCTTTTAGTAATTATAGATTTGATTTGACAGTCAAAGGGTCTATGCAGCGGCAGTTTGTCTGCTTCCCTTTCGCTGAAGACGTTGCTCAGATCGGCGTATTGTGGGGGCACCTTCCCTTTGTCTGTTACTTCCGTCCCTGCTAGGGTGACTCTGGCCCCTTCCGGAGCCTTCCCCTCTTTGCAGTGTTCTAGGCAATGCGCTGACCCAAAGGAGACCACTCCCTGATGCCAGCCCACTAGCGGATCGTGTAGTGCCAGCCAGCTCATCCCCAAAATAATGGGAGCTCCTCCCAAGGTAGCCACATTAAACGCTATCCGTTCGGTGTGCCTTGCCACCCTCATTATCATTGGAACCGTCTGTTGGCTGACTTCTCCTCCCAGTAGCTCCCGCCCATCAATCGTGGTCACCTGCAAGGGATTACTTAAAGGGATAGTCTGTATCTGGTGCTCTAGACAATTACAATTATGTATGTAATTTATATATCACCCTTCATACAAAGATGTTCTTTGAAACCCTAAAATCATTTCTCCCTTTTCCTCTGAAGCAGGTGGTGCAGACAATCGACAGGACTCTGCAGAATGTGGAATGAGCTTTATTGATGGTGGAAACCTTACAAACCATCAACAAACTCACACGGGGGAAAAACCATTTAAATGTTTGGAATGTGGAAACAGTTATAGTAGTAATGCCACTCTTAAACGACATCAGCAAATTCATACAGGGAAAAAACAATATGAATGTGTGGAGTGTGGGAAGTGCTTCAGTGAGAGTGGAAAGCTTACAAGACATCAACGGACTCACACAGGAGAAAAACCATTTAAATGTATGGAGTGTGGAAAGAGCTTCAGTGAAAGTTGGTCCCTTCATATGCATCATAGAAGTCACACAGGGGAGAAACCATTTAAATGTATGGAGTGTGGAAAGAGTTTCAGTTATAGTTCAAGCCTTGCTTTACATCATTACACCCACACAGGGGAGAAACCATTTGAATGCATGGAGTGTAAAAAGAGCTTCAATGACAAGGGAACACTTAGAAAACATCAACTAATTCACACAGGGGAAAAGCCATTCACATGTATGGAGTGTGGAAAGAGCTTCCGTCATATTAGTTCACTTCGTGTACATCAACGGACTCACACAGGGGAGAAACCATTTGAATGTCTAGAGTGTGGAAAGTGGTTCGGACGAAAGACACACCTCACTTCACATCGGCGAACTCACACGGGGGAGAAACTATTTAAATGTTTGGAATGTGGAAAGACTTCCATTGATAGTCGAACACATGCAGAACATCAACGAACTCACACAGGAGAGAAACCGCTTAAATGTATGGAGTGTGGAAAGAGCTTTGGTCAGAGTTCCAACCTTCGTACACATCAGCGAACTCACACAGGGGTTAAACCATTTAAATGTATGGAGTGTGGAAAGAGCTTTGGTACGAGTTCCCACCTTCGTACACATCAGCGAACTCACACAGGGGTTAAACCATTTAAATGTATGGAGTGCGGAAAGAGTTTCCGTCAGAGAGCACACCTTTACATACATAAACATACTCACACAGGGGTGAAAGACTTTAAATGCTTGGAGTGTGGAAAGAGCTTCAGTCGACGACATAGACTTAGTGAACACCAGAGAACTCACACAGGGGAGAAACCATTTACATGTATGCAATGTGGAAAGAACTTCAGTCACAGTGGAGCCCTTAGAACACACCAGCAAACTCACACAGGGGTGAAACACTTTAAATGCTTGGAGTGTGGAAAGAGCTACAGTCGACGTGATAAACTTCGTAAACATCAGAGAACTCACACAGGGGGGAAACGTATGGAGTGTGGAAAAGGTTTCCATCAGAGTGCACAGCTTACTTTACAGAAACATACTCACACAGGGGAGAAACCCTTTAAATGTATGGAGTGTGGAAAGAGCTTCAGCTGGAAGAATCAGCTTAATTCGCATCAACGAACTCACACAGGGGAGAAACCCTTTAAATGTATGGAGTGTGGAAAGAGGTTCAGCGAAAGTTGCTCCCTTAATATTCATCATCGAACCCACACAGGGGAGAAACCATTTAAATGTATGGAGTGTGGAAAGAGTTTCCGTCAGAGGACACACCTCACTTTACATAAACGTACTCATACAGGGCTGAAACACTAAATACTTGGAGTGTGGAAAGGGCTTCAGTCAACGTGAGAAACGTAGTGAACATTCACTCGATGTTCATTATTTTACATAGAATTCTAGAATGCTAGAGTTGACCATGGACATAATTTGAGGGATTTTTCGATGGGGCAGTGTGAAAACACATTCACTGTATTTTGTTCACTTTTCTGGAACAAATGAACCTCAAAGGCAGACTTGCATGACAATGCACCAAGAGGTTCAATGCTGTCAATTGTGGACTGAATCAGGACAATGGATATTTTTCACAATATGTGGGTGAATCGTATTCACAGTGCCAACTCCAGTGGTACTTTGGTTTAAGAACAACTTAGTTTATGAACAACTTGGAATAAAAATGCTGGAAACCTGTAAGTTGGTGTTTGGGTTGGTGAACTTTGCCTTGGAAACAGAACATGTTCCGCTTCCTGTTGAGTGTGTTCCATTTGTAAATTGAGTCCCCCACTGCTAATCAGAGGCTTCCTGTTGAGTCTGTTGGCAGTTGAGTGCGGAGCACCCACACAACACAAAAGCGATATTTGGAGCTTTTGTTTTTGCTATCCTTTGTGTTTTTGTGTGGCTTTTTCATCTTTTTTTTACTGTGTCCTGTTCTTCGTTTTATGGTACTGACTTTTGACTGTGGCTAGTGACTTGGTTTTTGTGACTGTGACTTGTGACTTCGTTTTTGTGACTGTGACTTGTGACTTCGTTTTTGTGACTTGTTTTTGTGACTGTGTGGAACCCAGGTCAGCTACTGGTTGATTGTGTGACTGCAGAAATGGATACAGGGAACCAGGCAGAGGGCCTTCTCGGTAGTGTCGCCTGCCCTGTGGAACGCCCTCCCAGCTGATGTCAAGGCAATAAACAACTATTTTACTTTTAAGAGACAACTGAAGGCAGCCCTGTTTATGGAAGTTTTTAATGTGTAATGCTGTATTGTTTTAAATATTCAGTTGGAAGCCACCCAGAGTGCCTGGGGAAACCCAGCCAGATGGGCGGGGTATAAATAATAAATTATTATTATAAAAGTCCCTCATCCACACAATTACTATCATCAGTGCATGTAAGAAAAAAAAATAATTTTATTTTTTATCATCTACAATACTGTCTTATTTATTTTATTGTACAGTATATTGATTATTGCCATCCTTTTATGGATCAGTGGTCTTGTTAGATAGTAAGATTCATGTTAAATTGCTGTTTTAGTGGGGTTTTTTCATTGTCTGGAATGGATTAATCCATTTTCCATTACTTTCTATAGGAAAGCATGCCTTGGTTTAAGAACGCTATGGTTTAGAATGGACTTCCTGAACAGATTAAGTTCGTAAACCAAGGTATCACACTGATTTTGTGTGTGAAAACAGCTATTAATAAAAGCGGTGGACTTGTAATCTGGTGAACCAGGCTTCGCGTCTCCCGCTCCTCCACATGCAGCTGCTGGGTGACATTGGACTAGTCACACTCCTCTGAAGTCTCTCAGCCTCACTCACCTAACAGTGTTTGTTGTAGGGGAGGAAGGGAAAGGAGATTGTTAGCTACTTTGAGACTCCTTAAGGGGAGTGAAAGGCGGGATATCAAGTCCAAACTCTTCTTCTTCTTTTTCTCGACTGGGAAGTCAAGGAGGAGGAGGTTAAAGCTGATTAAATGGGCCCAGGATTTGGGGTATAACAGATATGAAAGAGTGGGAATATTTATGGAAAGTAAATTTGAAATTAACAGTGGGCTATACCTTGAGGGGAAAATTCCAAAAAAATGCAATACTTTTGGTATTTGACCCCATGGAAAGTTTCAAAAATGTATAAAAACGTTTCTAGTAATTGTTGGAGATATGGAGAAGGAACAGGCACAATGTTCCATATGTGGTGGCTGTGTAAAAAAACATCAAGGGTTTCTGGGATGACATCTATATAGAATTTTAAAAAATGTTAAATGTTTGTTTCCCAAAAAAACAGAAGCCTTTTTATCACAGGCCCTGATATTCCTAGAAATGTAAGAGAGGTCTTTTTATACGCCACTGTTGCCGCTAGAGTCCTAATAGTGACAAATTGGAAAAGTGATAAAGTTCCTTCCAGGTTAGAATGGTTACAAGAATTGGTCTAATATGCAGAGCTAGCCAATCTAGCCAAAAAAAAAAAAGAAAGAAAGAAAATTCAAAACAAGTATTTATTTCAAAATGGGAAGTTTTTAAAAGATATCTTAAGAACAGTTGTTGCAGCTTGAACTCAGTCACAGCCTTTGAATAACATTTGTAGCTGTTTTAAGTAAGAAAAAGGACACAGGAGAAATAATATTTTCTTATACAACAAGTGAATGTGTTTTTGCAATAAGTCAGCAATGGTTAAATAAAGTATGGAGACGAGAAGTCCAGTGTTAAATCTTTTCATATGAGCATTTGAGGAAAGAAAAAGCCACCTCAAATGCTGTAGCAATATTTTTTTTTATGATCCCGTCAGTATTTTCAATGCTACTATTGCAGAGGGTCACATGATTGGATGTTTCCATTTCTTATCATTGTTTGTGTATAAGAGGAAGTCAGGTTGACGAACCTCTGCTCTTTAATTCTCTCTCTGCAGACAGAGAGATGTGTGAGAAGACACTCACGCCATGTTTCTTTCGTTTTCTTTGCTGTAAATAGTAAATGCTTGACGCCACATTTCCTGCACAATCTTGCTTTCGCTGACTCTGCTATGTGTGCACATATCTTTCGGATGTGTGCTGAAGAGTTTACAGGACTCCGACAGGTGGACGTCCCCCTGCCCCTCTCACCAAAGAATGCTGCATCCTATTTGGGACATTTGCAGGAAATGTAATGGGGGACCTCCAGGAAAGTGTGTGCCCTCCATGAGAACCAGCCACCCGTTCACAAGAACATACGCAGAGCGCTGATGGATCAGTCCGAAGTCTGCTTAAGGCAACAAACACTGCATATCCCAGGGAAAGTTGTCAGCCAATGTCTGTAGCATATGCCCATTTAGAATTTGCTGATACACGGCATCTGCATTCACATTCAAGAGGGAACCAGATGTGCACATATCTGAGATGGGGGACACCTGGCTCTGCAGCCTCCTTCTGGCCAGGAAGCTCTGCTCCGACCTCCTGTTGCCATTGCCATTGCTTCTTCCCTCAAAGGGGCACCACCGCCAGCCACGCTTCTCACTCTGCATCACCAAGCCAGCCCGCCTGGGCTGGTTCCAGGGGTTTACCGTGCAGCATGGTCGAAGTCCGGTCCTAGGTCGAGGGTAAGGAGGCTGTCCGTCAGGGGCGAAGCGAGGTGCAAAGCGAGGAGTCTGGCATGGTCAGGAACTCAGGAGAGCAGGTCAGGGTGCCGGCAGGAACAGGTTACCAACGATGTTGCTCCCGCAACCTGGGACTGGGCTGACTGGCCTTTATCTCCTCTGAGGCATAGGGCGGTCCCGGCCCACAGGTGACTCGCCTCTCCTGGCCTTAAGGCGAGCACTCCTTTTGAGAGAACTGCCCTGAACCTCTGCAGTTCAGGAGAGGCTGGAGGGTTACTGGGCCCAGAGGCAACCTCACCTTCCCCTGACAGGGCTGGGAGAGGAGCACCTGCAGACTCGATCACCTCTGGAGCCAGAGCGGATTCAGCTGGTGTCTCCTCCTGAGGATCCGGCACAGGTGAGGGCCCTTCAGGTTCAAGCCCCTGCCCCGGCTTAGCCGGCCCTGGAGGCGGGGACTCCTGTGCAGGCTGGGATTCCTTAGGTTCAGCCTCTGAATCAGATTCCCAGGCCACCACACTGCCAATCAAAAGGTGGGGCCTCAAAATGTCCAGAAATTTTGTGTCCAGCTCTCCCCGTTGTTATCATCCCCCTTCCATGCATGTACTCCCTTGTTAGCAGCACTTGTTTGCAGTTGAGAGAGCCCAAGCACCTAACCAGTGAGAGAAGGAAACTCTGTTGACATTTCCTTTCCACCTTAAGGAACAGACATGGGATTGTTACGTGTCACATGTATGTTTACATTCCAGCACAGTATGCTGGGAACTTCCGTTGTGTGTATAGCTTTTGCTTTTCCTGTTCTCTCTGAGACGACATGAGAGAGAGAGAGAGACGACATGTTTCTTTGTCCTGATTTATGATTAATAAATCTCTAGTTGTAGTATGCTTTCAAAAGCCTCACGCCTATTCTGTGTGCGCAGTTCTATCTGCTGATAGTGTGCCCTGGCTTTAAAGCCCAGGTTGCTGATGGAAAGAGATGGCACAGCTGGGGCTTGCAAGCTGGCCTCCCAGCCCTCTGCATGCCAACAAGCTCCTCCTCCTCCTCTGTGGGACAGGAAAGTTGGAAGAGCCGCTGAAGGGCAGGAACGGAGCTGAGGGCAAGGGCTGCGGCAAAGGCCTGGTGAGCTGCAGGTTGGACCACTCCGGTCTAACTTATCAGATGCATGCCATGATGCTGAAATGAACAGTAGTCCAGAAAAACTTAAACCATCATAAATTTGCTACTATATAGATTGGTTATTGTGGAGTGAAAACACTAGAGACGATATACCATATAATTTTGGACTGTCCTCTGTCTGACATTCTTCGGAGAGAGATCTACTGGAGACCCCTTTGAAGCTTAAAGTATCTACTTCAGGCATCCCAAACTTGGCCCTCCAGATGTTTTAGTGCTACAGTTCCCATCATCCCTCACCACTGGTCCTGTTAGCTAGGGATGATGGGAGTTGTAGTCCCAAAACATCTGGAGGGCCAAGTTTGGGGATGCCTGATCTACGTGGAATGAATTTGTAATTCATCATTATGTAAAGATTTCATATATGTATTGCAACATTAATAATAAATAAATATTTTTTTTAAAAAAAAGAATTTGTAATCCAATATCTGTTGAGGAATGGTATACGTGCTTGAAACCATCGAGATGCTTTCAGGATATTTAGCAGAGATTTTAAAAATTAAATTGTTTTAATTAAATGTTTTATGGATGGTTTCCCCTCCGTGTCTTTTATGATTTTATTGTCATGCAATATATATATATATATATATATATATATATATATATATATGCAGGTTTTGGTGTCCTCGGGTGTCTTCCCGTGTAAAAGTTGGGGTGTCTAGGCGACGTTTCGACGAGGTCTCACTCGTCATCTTCAGGCTGGTGCTTTCGGCTTCTTGTTACTGGAACAGAGCTCTGTTCCAGTAACAAGAAGCCGAAAGCACCAGCCTGAAGATGACGAGTGAGACCTCGTCGAAACGTCGCCTAGACACCCCAACTTTTACACGGGAAGACACCCGAGGACACCAAAACCTGCATTCCTGTACCCGTGAAAATCTACGAAAGAAATATATATATATATATATATATATTTGCTTTTAAATTTTTTATTATTTATACCCCACCCATCTGGCTGGGTTTCCCGAGCC